GCACAGTTCTTCTAATGAAATATAGTTTTATAATTACCATATTATATTTTCAGATGAGCTTTTAATGGAACATCTCACACTTTACATTTTACAAAAAGCTTTTTTCAGACAGGTATGACACAGGAAATGAGTAATGTGCTGGACAGGCAATTTAAAAAGAAAGACACAGATCAGGAGTCAGTCTCTCTAAGCCGAAGGAGCTGAATTGTTGTGTGCGCTACTGCAGGAATAGATTTTTTGAAATGCCTCTTAAAATGAATCAATGGCAGCTTGAAAAGAAAGACATTTAATAAAACAGTTTCTTATAAGTTAAGAGGAGAGGTTTAATAAAATCCAAGCTCCTTATTGTAAGTGAAATATTGTTGTGTGTGTGTGTCAATGAGTGGGAGAAAGCGTTCATGTATATATGTGAAGTTGTGCGTGTTCATCCCAGAATGTGAGAGTGCTAATGCCTGTGCAAATTAATTCATGTCCCAATACATGTGTGAGCACATAATGGGGTAATCACCGAGCATGTGCTACACATTAACTCTGTGTGTGTGTTTTCTGACAAATACTGTTCTGTGTGTGAGTCTACAAATGTGTTGGTGTGGCTTTCCATATGAGCTACAGTGTTGATTTTTGTGTATGTGCAAAGTGTACATTCTTTATTCATTAAATTGCACACATCTTGTGCCAGAGGATGCCTTCATATGTTTGTGTGTATTTTGTGTCTGTGTGTGCCTGTGCACACTGTGACAAATGAGTAGAAAAAAATGTGTGAGTGTCTACACATATGTGGCTCAGGCAGTATTGAACAAGTGAAATTTCTCTATTATGTACCCACAGTATTTGTTAACTATCTTGTTAACTAATGTATGCATGTCATTTTGAGCGCTTAGCCCCAAATTCATGTGTGCTAAACACTTCAGTGCTTTTTAACTGGGATGGCTGTCCCTCAGTTTGAGGTTTGGGGATCAGGCCAGCATGTTAGTAACCCTGTCTCCTTAAATTAGATGTATATATTGGTAAATAGTTTTCTTTATGAAACCAGAGCACAATATTTCTTTCCTTGACTTTAGTCAAGTTCTCTGAGTGGTTTAAACATAACTATAAAACAGTTCATAATCCTGTATGTTGAACGTTCGGATGGGGGGCGCCATTTTGTGAGATATGCGCTGTATTTACCTGCATACATTTTTGTTTTGTTTGACTAAAATGTTTAAATCATTTAGATCTCATTTTACTAACTGTGGTAATTCACAATGTATAACCTCAGCTGACTGTAGCTAAATTGTAGCAGACCTAGAGATCTCGTTGATGAGAGTGACAAACCGAAAAATGACTGCACTCTGATCTCAGCTCTCAGTTCGGGATCTAGCGCTAGCTAGCAGCTGTCAGCAGATAACACAACCACTACAGATAAATACATTTCTGTGCTGAAACTGAACATTAAAGTGGACGTTTGCACCTAGCTGAAGCATCCAATACTATATGTATTTATTGTATGGAAGTTGGAAGCTTAATATCTCAGGCATACCTTGGTCTAGAAACGCCATTTCAACTTTATTCAACTCGTGAGACATTCAGCTACCAATGGTGCAAAAATCATCTTGATATCCTTTATGTTTGTTTTTTTTATAATCGACATTTATATTTTGTCTATTTGTCCATAGACAACGAATGGGCCAATACTCTGCAATGCCATTGGCAGCTGTGCGTCACGTGACCCCCGGTCTAGCAGCTTTCTCTATGCTTCTCCTCTTCCTCATTGCTTTTGTGCTCCTATTATGCCATTCTTAAGCTTTATACACATATAATGCATGAAACTCGTAGAGAAAATTGTCAGAATCCAGCTGTGTAATTGGCATTGCGAAGAGATAGAGGTATTTGCGCAAGTCGCACATTCCGGCGCGTACCGCCTCACTGCTCCTTAGGCTTGCAGTCAAAAAAATATGCTGGAAGGAAAAAGCCTGTGTTAACTGTGCATATGATAAACACTTTGAACCTACTCTTTTTTGCATACCCAAGTACCATCCAGCATATACATGGATTCTGAAAGTGCAGAAATGACAACACTCCCATCTCTCTTACGGCAAGCACACCCCCGGCCTCTTGAGTTATTGCCTTAACATCACACCGAGTCCATTTGTATCCATTCAAGATGGATTAAGCAAGTTCTTCCATAATCACAACAGTAATTAAGGATATAAAAAATGTCTAAAAGAGGGGGGGCTTCTTATGTTCAAGGATTACCCACCTGGTCTTCCTCATAGTACTGCAATAAAATGCTGCAGACAACTATGTATGACAAGAGAAACTGAAGGACTTTTCCACAGAGGCAGGGTGTCTGATGCAGAGATAGGAAATGAGGCACTTCATTTTCAGTCACGTAAATCCTTTCAAGGAGAACCACCCATAAACTGACTCCCCCAGGAACTTGGTAACCCCAAAACCAAGCTGCAGTCACGTCTGGAGATTCTTTCAGATTAGTATATGGAAAATTTGTGAGAAATATATTTTTTCCCAGAAACTTAGTATCATCAGATGAATTTCCAAAAACTCACAGCACTGTTACTGAGCGGTCTCTTGCAGGTTCTCTGGGAAAGGATAGCTGTTCCAACCTGGGACATTAGTTTTGGTGAGTGCCAGAGGATGACTTTCTGATTTGTGGTCCCACTTTAGCAGGCATTCCTAAGGGGAAATTTCAGAGAACATCATGCAAACCCACAGGCGCATGCCAAGACCAAATAACTGGACTCCTGCCTCCAAGTGCTTCAAGATGCCTTTCTGCCTTCTCCTGATAATGTTCAGAACACAGTGAGAGGAAATGCATCAGGAACACGTGGGTGGAGTGTGGAGACCATCTGACTGAGGAAGCAAGTTGTCATGCAAGAGCACATTCCTATCACATCTTATGCTGGCATGGCTGTCAGTTAATGCCACCATCTTCACCTGGCGGAAGGAGAGAGCCCTTGTTATTTTAGATATTATGAAATTTCATAAACATAGCAGAGCTCTCAAAAGAATGGTTTCATTAAGCCTAAACCATCAGGTTCGAATAAGCTGTTTATTTTCATTTGTTTATGGAGATATGTATTGTATGTGTGCAGAAAAAATTAGAAATGTCTGTAATGAAGGGGATACAATCCGTCCTGCTCTGTGCACTGAAGATTGTGTGCAGGGTCAACTGTAGACAGGAAAGCTCCTCATCATTTACTGCTGCTAAGCTGTCCTGAGGGATGACACCAGGATAACAATGGATCCTCTACTTACGTCATATGTAGAACCACTGCCCCCTGGTGTCTAACAAATGAACTCTGCTGGCCATGAAAGTAAACGGATCTCCTACACATGCCAGTCTGAGGTTTAAATACATTCTAATAAATACACTCTAGTAAAAACATTCTAAGAACTAATAAAAGATGTAATAAGTAAGCATAGAAATAATTTGAGGATTTCAGTTAACAGTGCAGTCTGCATGCAAGTTTTTGCTTTCCGTCACAGGTTCAAGGCTTGCCATCCCACAAGCCGTTCCCAACCCAAAATTCATGCTCGGAAGGGTATGTAATCATTTTGAACCTACTGCATAACAAAATCCAGATGCACAAAAAGTGAGATAAAGTGATAAATATTTTAATCCCTCATTTTTTATTCCCATAAACAAAGGATCTGCAGTGCAGATAATCTCAAACATTCATGAGCAGAGGCTTGCCATTAAAAAAAAAATTTACCTCAGCTTCAAAGTCACAGGCAAATATTTCACATTATCTACACTGCTAAAAGTCACACTCAGGCCATCTCACCCAGAAACCACCCAAACATAAAACAGAAGTAGGTGCTCATGGATGAGAAAACATTAAACAAGAACATAAAATTACAGGACAGACCGCCTTCATATTTGTTTATAATGGAAATGTCATCTAACCAAAAACCGATGATACTTAAACAACCTTTACTTCAGTTAAATCTATCAGTCATTGGTACTGGTTCTGAAAACACCCCCTTACTGAAACATTTTCATAAGCACTTCAAAAATCTTTGCTGTCCTCTTCAGTACATCAGGTCAACATTGCAGAATCCAAGCGAGCACAAATCCATAAACTCTTTTATAAGCCTCTTTACACTGTAAAAGATCAGCTAAAGCACAAGGAAATACTCAGCAGGCCCCAGTGTGTTGACTCCATTGAATCAATGGCAAGCAATCCAAACCTGCACCAATTAAAACCTAATGTAACATCTTTGCCATTCAACAAATTAAATCTCTTAGTGGCCGAGTCAAACTTTCACTATAGACAGTGAGAATAATGTGAGGGATGAGGCTGCATTCAGAGCACTTTGGTGGGCACATGAAGCTATCCAAATCAAAATACTACAGAGAAGTGTTATCCATTAACATCTTCTTCTGTGTCTAATTGTGAAATGTTCTAAAAGCTCTACAAAGTCTCTGGCAGCACACACAGTGAAGGAGTTATGTCACAAATAGGAACAGAAAGACCAAAACCATGAAACCATTTCAGTTGGCTTGAGACACAGATGACACAAACATCATTAAAATTGTTTCACACTAATATAAATGAAAAACAAACAGGGCATAATCTCCAAATATACAGTATAACGCTTCAGTTTACTGAAGATGTGGGATAATATGGTTACCGCTGTAAGGTTGTAAGGAGACAGCTATGAATGAAGTGTACACGTTGCCTTACATGTGTATGAATACCTGTTCAGAGGATGCATAGGTGGCATTAAGAGATTCTGAGGTAAACCCATAAAAGGCTGTGAATGAGAAAATAAAAAGCACACAGCATACACAACAAAGGGTTTGCTATATATGGGTTCTCCCCATCATCCAACCAACACTTACATCCATAGCAACCTCTGCGTGTACTGGCAGAAATGTCATAATCTAACTATTGCCTATTATTGTTGACTGTTTTTCTCACCTCTCTAGATACAATCAGAGGCAAAGGGCATGAAAAAGGCAGGTTATATAACAAAACCATGTACTGCTCCAGACAAACATAGTGTCACCAGTATGGGTCTATGCAAATACATTTTTCAAGAGACAATAAGTTAAAAACATGTATAAACGATAGAAATTACTTGGCTTCTTTTAAAAACCATTCATCTCTGACAGAAAAAAAGCTTATATAAATTATATAAAGTCTCAACACATCAGGTGTACAACAAGAAAGAAATCCCTTCTCCTTAAATGTCAAATAAAAAAATTAACAAGATGAAAAACTATGTATACACACTAGTATGAATTGAAAGATTGATGTTATATATTTACATACACACATCAGTCCCTGATCGATTAAGGCCAAAGCGCTGTACAAATTAACCACACTGCATGTAGGCTGCTGTTGCACTTGTGTTCCTCAGTTTGCAAAATGCAAAAGAAGCAGTTATACAGTAATACTCAAGGCCTTTGCTCAAGAATCATGTCTTTCAAACATGTAAAACTAAGCTAGCTTTCAGCATTAAGAAGTAAAATTAGCAAAAAAAAACCTCACCTTCCACTGCAGTCCATGGTTTCTTTTTTTTTAACAAAAGCAAGATATTGTATATACATAGAGTAGCCTTGTCCTGATTCCACTTCAGCCTTTGAGGAGTTCCTGTAATGCATTCTCATCCCAAGAGAGTATTTATAAGGATTCTTTGACAAGAAACCCAAATGTTAAATGGAGATGAACGATGGTTCACTGGAGTGGCCACTTTTGGTCTCCTCTTATTCGAGCAAAGTCAAGAGTCATGGTGGTAGAGTCAGAGCATGCCGAAGCCTTCGCTGCCCTCACTGATAGCCAGCTTCAGCATCTTGTGCAGCTCCTCGTAGGAGTCATAGGTAGGGAGGCACAGCTGGTTAAAGCTAAACAGAAAAAAACAACAACAGACAGATGAGTAATGTCTGATTCCTGAAAAAGTATGGTCCTGATTTTTTCCAAGTGTGATATACGTCTCAGAGTCAAAGAGCTCCTTTTGCTGTCCAAAAACATCAATGAGCCACACTCTTGCACTGAGAGACATGTTATTTTGTTACCATGAACACTCGTTTGAACATTAAATGATAAAACTTGTAGCCTTTTTAAGCTTTGCATTTTCAGTAAATTGGCTTGGGGCTGATAACAGACAAGGCTGAGAAGTCAAAAAGTGTTTTCATGGGACTTGCAGACAATCGAAAACATACAGACAAAATATTAAATAGCTACAAGCTTTAATACAGTATGTGCCTGTGTTTTCCTACTCACCAGGTGTGTGCAGTGGGCAAGGTGCTGTGTGTGGGGGCAGCAATGATCTGGAAGGAGGGGCAAAGGGTGTTGAATCCCCCAGGTGGAAGCTGAGAAGAGCCGGTGGTGAACTGCAGCAGACGAGCCAGCTCCTCCTGGGTGAAGCTGGACACCACAGCCCAGAACCACTTCATCACCTGTGTCGACACAAAATCAACACAGTCAGAAAATTGCACCACTTTCCTGCACCTAGGAGAAAAGGGAGACTGCCATACTTTTTCCCTGAAGTGCCACGACCCGCCAACAATCACAGCATGAGCCTTGAAGTCCTGTACGTTTATATCACCGGTGCCACACATCAGCAGCTGAAGAGATGAAAGGGGGGGAATAAACTATCTAGTGTTGTAAAGTTCAACAGGATTTTATTATAAACATTGAAACATACCTCCAACTCATTCTCATCAAATATGGCTAGCAGGTTTTCTGGAACCAGCTCATTCAAACCTGCAGTTGATCAGGAAATTACACTAATTACATCCACAGTGCCGGACATTTCAGATTAGAGAAACTGGCAAAAAAACAAAAACAAATAAACAACAACAGTTTACTGCAGCTGTGCTTCTTACCTTTCAGGAAGTGTTCCACCTCATCTCTCACCTGGCCGGCCAACCTGTATTGGGCCAGGAGGTTGAGATAATGCATCTTGTTTTCATTTGTAACAGCAATCTGAGCTCCCCCTGATATCAGCTCCACCACCTGCAGAAGAACATGCGGCAGGATGTAAATGTCCAATATAAAATGGTTTACAATGAAATAGCTGTGTGGCTCTTGAAGAAATGGTCAGCAAAGGCAAGACATTAGAGACGGGATTAGAACACTTAAGTGTTGAGAAACGCTCTTGAACATGAGTGTTTGGTTAAGTAAATATTTGGTCATTCATTTTCTAATAAAAAAAAATAAATAAGAGGCTGAACTCAGTTTCAACATTGGGAGTAAGACATCCAATTACTACGTGTAATTTTATTGAGCAACTTTTGCGACTGTGGCGAGCACATTAATTTCTCTAATCTGTCCAGCAACATAAAGGATTGTGGATTCATTTTTCAGCGCCGTCTCACCACTATTCTAGTGCCTTTCTAAGGCCACATCCAAAAAGCGGGCTTTACTCGCTTTGCTCCGATGAAAATGGTTGATTGAAAAAGCCCAGATTAACTCTCACGTTTAGTCACAACCTTAAGGTTTACAGCCTGGTATATAATATTTAGTATAGGATCAAAACTGGCTGCTGCCGGGGCCGTTTTCCAGAACGTAACACAAAGCTCTGTAGTGAAAGATTGATGATGGAGAATACCTCTTTCCTTTGTGCTCCTCTGCCCCCTACTACGCAAGGCATTTTATAAGACCTATTCATGTCACAATTTCAATAATCTATCAAATTCTTGCGCGTCTTTGGGTTTAAGTCACATTTAAAGCTTCTGCAAAGGTCTGTCCAAAAACCTTAAAAAATGATTGGGTTTGTGTGAGAGAGGGGAAAAAAACCCTCTTAAGACCCTTCAGCTGAGAGGCGTAGTCTGAATGATAGTTTGTCAAACTGTTGTATCAGTCCAGCAGATCTACAGTCCTAAACCGTCCTGCAGTGTGTTGGTCCTCCTGCCAGACGGTGACGTTGCAAAGACGCGTTAAGCGCCGTTTTTTTTTTTTTTTTTTTTTTAACTGTGTGTAGCTTAAGAGGACACTAAGCATTTGTTAAAAGTGGTTCAGAAGAATAACTTACAAGACCCTGGTTATTGTCGCTGAAGCGGGTGAACAGCTGATTGGAGGTTTCAAAGAGCGTCTTACAAATCAGCTCAAACCACTCCCTGCGAGGCCCTCCCCAGTCTAGAGCTGCAGAGAAATGTCAAAGGCTATTTAGCATTATACTCACCTCAGTGAATTACTATGTAAAAACAATTGTGCAAAAGCAAAAATGTATAAAATTCCCATTCACGTCACACTTTCTGAAGATATTTTGTTTACCTTCCTCATCCTGAAACACAACCTCAAAATTCTTACTCCAGTCTGACACTGAGAAGTTCTTTGTAGCCTTCAGGGACTGAGTAAAAGCAAGAGAGCCAAAATCACCAATGGAACCAGAAAGCTGTTATGATTCCATGTCTAGTTTTGTGAACCAGTCTTATGGCACAGTAAAGGAGCACTCACAGATTCTAGAATGGAGTGCCGAGTGACCTTCAGGCAGGTCTTTGTGCGAGGTCTCTTTGAGTGGATGTGCCTGAGTTCACGTTGAAAGAAGTTCACCTTGTCTTGAAATGTTTCAGAGCCACCTGTAGAAAATAATAATTAAAATAATCTGCTATACTGCTACAGATCTCCATATATGACTTAGTAAGTGCAGCTCAAGGCAAAATGAATCACATTAGGCTGAAACAAACCAATGTTCTTGTGGAGGAAGCGAATGAAGGTGGCAGCCATGATGTTCCTGTCTTTGCAGCTGAGCTCCACGGGAGGCTGTATTCCATCATCCACTACTAGAGTTAGGTACTTGTGCACTGGGTCAGGACCGTGATAGGTAAACTGAAAAGACAGCAGGTGAGTTTGTCAAACCAAATCAAAGAGGCTGGTTCGCCAGTGTTTTCCCAATATCACTTCTGCTCACCTTCGTTCCTGGACATACTCGAAAGGTGAAAAGGCGCCACGGAATAATTTTCAGGTAGAACTCCTTCACGGATAGTTGCTGTTCAACATAGAAGTCTAAGTTGATGTCATCTTACATTACCACAAATACAGTATTTTCTAATGTTCACAAACCCAATTGTTGAATAAGAAAAAGCATTCTCATTAAAACTAATTGTGGTATGCTGCCCACTTACCTTTGGCGATATGTAACAGTAGACCTTTTTTGGTTTCTTGAACTTCTCAGGTTGTCCCTCCACAGGAGAGTCATGCTCATCTTCCTCTTCTCCCATGGAGGGCCTCCGCTGAGGAGCCAGCAAAGATGAGGCAGGTAATTGCCATGAGGAGTTGCTGTAGTTTCCACTGCTGTAAAGGTATGCCTCAAAGTAGATACTTATGCCTGGAGTGGACACGTTCTTCTCCACACAGGTCTTCTCATTCTCTGCAATTAAAATGTATTAGGTAAGTGTCAGGCTGAGAAAACACAGGCTGGGGAACTAAACCTAAACCTAACGTATTAAAATGCATTAAAAGGTTATTAGAAAATTGCATTTCTGGTTCATTTCTCCTACAAAAGTGTATTTTTCTCCACTATGTAAATGCTGCTCACCACTGAGAACAATAATGTCAAATTCCCCGTTGCTGAGTGGCTGGTCCTTGTAGGAGATGCGAGCCCTGAAACAGCCAGCCTTCCTCAGGATGAGTCTCAGTAGGACCTGGCACTGCTGTTTGTTGAGTGAAACAGACTTACTGTAATATTCCTCCATACTATCGTCATCCACTGTGCCCAGCTAGAAGAAGAGGAAAACACACATCAACCCCAGCTCAGAATTCTGCAAATGTGAGTGGCTATGCAACTGGAAGCAAAAAAGTATAAAGTACGGTGGGTACGGAAAGTATTCAGACCCCCTTAAATTTTTCACTCTTTGTTATATTGCAGCCATATGCTAAAATCATTTAAGTTCATTTTTTTCCTCATTAATGTACACCCAGCACCCCATATTGACAGAAAAACACAGAATTTTTGACATTTTTGCAGATTTATTAAAAAAGAAAAACTGAAATATCACATGGTCATAAGTATTCAGACCCTTTGCTGTGACACTCATATATTTAACTTAGGCGCTGTCCATTTCTTCTGATCATCCCTGAGATGGTTCTACACCTTCATTTGAGTCCAACTGTGTTTGATTATACTGATTGGACGTGATTAGGAAAGCCACACACCTGTCTACATAAGACCCTACAGCTCACAGTGCATGTCAGAGCAAATGAGAATCATGAGGTCAAAGGAACTGCCTGAAGAGCTCAGACAGAATTGTGGCAAGGCACAGATCTGGCCAAGGTTACAAAAAAATTTCTGCTGCACTTAAGATTCC